CCACTCACCTCAGCCTCCCAAAGGCGCAGGATTACAGGCTGAGCCACCGAGCCCGGCTGAACAGACTTATTTAAGCTACTATTTCCTGAGTGCTGAGTTCTCTCTCATTAAACAATCACAAAAAACCAAAAGGAACTAAAACAGAGTTGTAGTATACTGAAAATTTCCCCCTGCAGTTTCAGGGAAACTTAAATTATTCCCTCTTTTTCAAAATGTTGGCACTACAACATTGAGGCTGTGGTAGCTATGATTGTGCACATGAACTTCAGCCCAGGTGACAGAGTATATTGACTCAAAAAAAAAAAAAAAAAAAAAAAAAAAAAAATGGGGGAGTAAAAACTCAGAAGTGGGGTTGCTGGATCATGTGGTAATTCTATTTTTAAACTTTGAGGAACCTCCAGTTTTCTATAATGGTTGTACATTCTCACTAACAGTGCACAAAGGTTCCCTTTTCTCCACATCCTTGCCAACATTTATGTTTCATTTTTTTGATAAAAACCATTCTGACATGTATGAGATGACATCTCACTGTAGTTTTAATTTGCACTTCCCAACTGATTAGTGATGTTGAATATTTTTTCATATATCTGTTGGCCATTTGTATGTCTTCTTTTAAGAAGTGTCTTTTCAGGTTCCTTACCCATTTTTTTTCTCTCTGATCATATCTTCCTCCCTTGCTGACAAAAGTAACCTCTACTTCACTTTCCATCCCCTGCCTTTTCTTCACATCCTTAAACACTATATGAGTAATTCTGTATAGTTTTGAACGTTATAGTATTTCTTCCCTATATAGTGTTAATATTATCCCTTTATAAAATGTATGGCTTGCAAATATTTTCTTACAATCTGCAGGCTGTCTCTGCACACTACTATTTCCTTTCCTGTGCTAGTGGTCATTCTTAAAGTACTCCTTTTAAAGAAACACTTTATTGTGTTTTCTTTCTCAAGGAATATCTGCAGTTGTTTTCTCTATATACTTTGGTAGATTTCTGGACTATAATTCATCCTTCTGATTTACAAATAAATCAAAACATGAAAGGTCATTTGTGTGGTTTGTCTGTGTTGAATTTTATAGCTTAAGGTTTATAGCAGGAAACTCATATCCTAATTTGCTTTTCTCCTTCTGATCCATGTTATAATTCTCCAGAGTGCAACAATGCCTAAAGGAATGGACTTTGTTTTATTGCTGCTGATTTTTAAATTGTTCATCTTCTATAGCAATTTCATTTTGGTTACTTAATAAAAACTCAAGCCTGGGAATCTAAACTAAATATTTTAGTTGACTTCGTATCTATAGAGTTCTCAAAGGAACAGGGAAATAAGGGCTATACAAAGAAACTCTGGAGCCAAAAATAGGGTAGTTTCCTATAAAGGAGCCAGTGGTAGTACTCAACTTTTAAATTGTACAATATCAAAATAGCTATGGATTAGAGACTTTCACTGCATGGTATTTGAAAAACAGCTTTGTTTTTCAAAGGAATAGACATGTTTGGCTTCATATTTAGGCTTAATATACATGTAAGCACAGGATTCAGATTTCTAGAAAAGTGTCTTTTGAAAATTATTATTGTTAGCCGGGTTTTGTGGCTCACACCTGTAATCCCAGCACTTTGGGAGGCAGAGGTGGGAGGACTGCCTGAGTCTAGGGGCTCAATACCAGCCTAGGCAACATGGCAAGGCCTCATCTCTAAAAAAGAGGGGAAAAAGGAAAAGAACGATTAAAAAAAAAAAAGGAGTCAGGCTCAGTGGCTCATGCCTATAATCCCAGCACTTTGGGAAGCTGAGGTGAGATGATTGCCTGAGCCCATGGGCTTGAGACCAGCCTCGGCAACTTGGCGAGACCTCATCTCTATGATAAACCAAAAAATTAGCTGGGCATGGTGCTGCGTGCCTGTAGTTGCAGCTACTTGGAAGGCTGAGGTGGAAGGATCACCTGAGCTCACCAGGTTGAGGCTGTGGTGGCTGTGAGTGTGCCACTGTACACTAGCCTGGGTGTCAGAGTGAGACTCCAACTCAAAAAAAGAAAAAAAGGAAAGAAATTTATTTTTTTGAGACAGGGCCTCTGTTACCCAGGCCGGAGTGCAGTAGCACCATCATAGCTCACTGCAGCACTGCAGCCTCAATCTCCTAGTCATAAGTGATCCTCCCAGCTCAGCCTCCTGTGTAGCTGGTACTACAGGTGCATGCCACCACACTCAGCTAATTTTTAAATAGTTTTTAGAAATGGGGTCTTGTTATGATGTCCAGGCTGGTCTTGAACTCCTGGGCTCAAGTAGACCTTCTATGTTGGACTCCCAAAGTGCTGAGATTACAGGCATGAGCCACATTTGGCCTGAAAATTAATTTTTAACAAAATAATATAGTATTATTTGAAAATTTTAGACACAGTGAAAGTCATTTTTTGGAAATTACTTAAAATTTATAATTTTTGAAATGAAATGAATGCCTCAGATTTGTTAGCCAAGTTCAGTTTACTGCATGAACTGAACTGAGTAGGATTACTATTTTTGGTGTACCAAAATTCAAATTGGCTTCTGTCTCCAAATGGTCTGATTAGGAATTATATTATTTAAGAAAAAACCTGGGAAAACGCTTAAGTAATTAAATAATACATAATTAATTATGTATTATTTAATTAAGTTAATTAAAAATTTAAATTATGTTCAAAAATATGAAAGAATATTTTTAGACCTATAGCTATGGTATGGAGAACAACATAATGAATCCCAGCACAGGAAATATGTATTGGCAGAAATGTACACATGGGAGTCCTGTGTATTCTCTCTGATCATATCTTCCTCCCTTGCTGACAAAAGTAACCTCTACTTCACTTTCCATCCCCTGCCTTTTCTTCACATCCTTAAACACTATATGAGTAATTCTATATAGTTTAGAACATTATATAAATAAGTGATGGAACTGTTTATATTCTTCTGTAATTTGCTTCTTTTTATTCAATACTGTTTGTGAGATTCATTCACCTAGATATGATTAAATCTAATTTATTCATTTTCACTACTGAGCAGAAATTCTTTCTACAAATATCTTTAGTTATTCATTCTCCTGGTAATGGACATTTAGGCATTTTTCAGATTTTTTAACTATTACAAGTCACACTGCTATGAACTTTTGTAATGTCTTTTGTCTTTTGGTGCACATCAAGTTTCAAGGGTGCATAACTGCCAATGGATTACTAGGTCTGGGGTATATACATCATTACCTTTATTAGATACTGCTAAATGATTTTCCAACACATTTCTATCAATTAACACTCCAGTGCATAAAAGGTTCTATTGCTCTACATCCTTGCCAACATTTAAGATGGTCAGATTTTTAAAATTTGTCAATTTAGTAAGTGCATATTAGTATCTCAAAATGGGCTTTTTTTTTTTTTTTTTTTTTG